GCCCGTAAAGGTTCAGCAACCTACAAATTTCAATCTTGTAACAGAATTATAAACCAAAAAGAAAGGAAAAATGGAAGAAACTACAAAATTATACAGTAAATTTTGGTAAGTTCAGCCTCATAAAAACTATGAGTAGATTCAATTGGTAAAGCCTCTTGTCATCGTGCAAAAGGCCTGGAATAATGCTGCCTGCACTAAGGTTGAGTGAGTTTGTGAGATGTGAGAGTGCTACCTCCAGTTGGGTAGCCCAATGGTCCAATGCATCTCCAACGGAGCAAAACAAAATCATCACTTATATAACTAACCAGTCACCCATACAAAAATAGCACAGATCAATTTTCTTCCCAAAATGGTATATAATTTTCAAATACACACACAGAAATTATATTGGCATGTTGGTTTCAAGAAAATGTTATGAAGCTTTTTGTCACAAGATTATTTTCAAGGGCCACATCCTGAGATTTATCCAATGTTTATAAATATAAAATAAAGAAATAAAACATAAAACATAAAAACAGTGAAGAAATTACCTGCTCACCAAGGATCTTAAGAAATATCTCTCTCTCCTCTTCGATTGAATTATGTGAACTACCAAAGAAATCCGAAGCTATCACTAGAGGAGTGCTAGTGCTTTGATTTTCAGCTCCATATTTGCAGCAATCCTCAGCTAACCTTCTCACTAAATTATTAAGATGAAATTTAAACTACTAGACTTGTAGAATGAACCAAATGCAGTAAATTAGAGAAAGCCTTGTCACCTATTTCCATTTGTTTTGAGCTGATCGATACAAAAGCTTCAACTCCCCGAACAAGACTCCGCTGAAAATGCTGGGTAACATATCTTATTGTTAGAATTTGGAAAAATGAAACCACTGATGATGCATTAGCAGATGGTGCATGCCATAATTCATTAGTCAGATGAAATAAGATGAACCAGTAGTTAGCAAAGAAAAAGCCAACTTCATAGCGGCATGATAACTTTACCTTTGCTGCCCTCGTCGAATTATATAAATCTTGAAGATTTTGGTGGCACAGAAGTTCAGCTTCATCAATCATAACAGCTTCATTACCTAAGCTTCCCAGCCGTTTCAAAACAGCCTGCAAGATATTCAACACTACAATCTTAACATATGACTGAAAACTTGTCCACAAAGCTTAAGCAGATAGGAAATATCAGCTTAAGACACATTAGCACCCCCTCCCACATGAAAGTCCAGTCCATAACAATGAGCCAAATGTGACATTGCATAGGCAGAAAACAAAAGATGTTATCACAATCACGTCATTCATGATTCCTTGCTCGCTCTCAATGAACTACCCTCCCCATCCTCCAATTTATCACAACTTGTTTACCCTTCTACCACTACTTATTCGTGAAACAGTTCCGACTTAATGTCCCAATATCCCATCTATTTCACTTATATGTCTTGTGCCTCCAAGATGTTTCCACCTTAATAATCAAATCTTCAAACCTAGTCCCTTAATGTCACAATAAATATCTCTATAGAGCATCTAAACCAGAGAGAAAAGTGCTCCGGGTTTCTAGTAATGAAAAAATGAAAAATTTAGTTAGTTTCCATGCTTTGTATACACAGGTACAGGGAGAGTACCATACCACTGATCACCTATAACATAGATCAGGTAAGAAATTTCCAAATTCTTCACAAAACAAATAAGATAGGTGTCATGCAAAAAACAATGGGTTTTTAAGTGCCTCCAGATTTGAAAAATAAAAGTGTGTAGATTTTATAGCCACAAGCACGAGATGGGAATTCTTTTTAATTTTGTTGCTTTCTGTTAGGGATTTACCTATTTGTTTTGTTCTGTTTATAAGAATTCAGGGGTGTAATTAGTTTATTAATTTTGGGAATTTTATCACACTGGGATTGATTAGATATGTAGGACTTACTGTAATTCAAGTTCCGAGCTTTGTATATTGAATAGAGAATAAAGTGATAAACTTTCCTACTTTCATATCTCTGTTCTTATTCTACTTCTCTTTTGTACTTCAGTTTTCTTGGTTCTACATCAATTGGTATCAATGTACACAATTTGACACAACAATCCAAAAAGCCAAGAAATTTCATAATATAACCACTAAAGAACACAAAAACCTCCACTAAAGACAAAAAATTGACAAATTTGTCATGTAGAAAACACAAAAAATCCAACTTTGAATCGTTCAAAACCAAAAACTCCGCGGTAATTCAATGTTCAACAAAAAGTTGACTTAGCCAATGTCTTGTTAACATAAAATTGAAAAACAAAATGAAGTTAGTTGCTAAGCTTACTTAACATTCAAAGACAAGAGAAGCACTTAAGCGAAAAGCCAAAAGTTAAAGCAGACGATTAGAGCAATCAATAATAATAAGCACCTGCTGCTGCTTTGCGACTTGCTCCCTGAGCTTACTGGCTTGCTTCCGTATAGACTCCATACGGAGAGAAAGCCCTAGATAGAAGAATGATCTTGGCGGTCAGAGAGAAAGTGGTTTGGCTTTTACTGGTAACAGAAAGGAAGAAGAAGAGAGAAAGCGAATATATAAAAGAACAGAAAAAAGTAGGGACTTTATGAGTTAGAGAGATCGAATATGAACAAGTTCATTACATCATTTTCTTTTCATTTTCTAATCCTCCTTTTTCACTTAGAAGGCCAAATTACATTTTTGGATTTGTAGTCTAATGCAATTTCACTATGGTCCTTGTAATTTTCATTTTGACAAATATTAAATGTGGTCAAATTCATAGATGAAATTCGATGTGGTAATATGAAATTCATTTTTTTAAGTACAAGTGATCGATGAGAGTTTACACAGACATTACTTGGGTGTTGGGGAGTTTCAAACTGAGATATACCACACTAGCGAAATTCATCTTTTTTTTATTATTAAAACAATTTTGGACTTGTAGACTTTGATTGCTATGCAAAAGAGGTATAGTATTGGCGATGGAAAGGGGTTTTCAAAATGTTGTCTTTGAAAGTGATGCTCTCCAGATTATTACAGCACTTCAAAGTAACTCCATAAATAGGTCCGTCATTGGACCAGTGGTGGGAGGATACCAAGAGCTTGCTAACACATGTCACTGTAGAAGGTTTTACCCATATTCGTCATACTGCAAGTGGTGGCTCACCGTATACCGCACTTTGTCTTGCATATAGGGGCTTTTATGTACTGGTTTGAGGAACCTCCTGATTTTATTTCTGATGTACTGTATGAGAATTATAATTTGTGATCAAAGAATTTTCTTTGCCCTTGATACGAGTTCAGACTTCTTGTATTAGTTTTTTCACATCAATAATATTATGTCGCTTATCATAAATAAATAAATAAAAACAAAATTAGAATACTAAAATTGTCAAAATTGAAATGACAAGTACTATTACAGCACTTCAAAGTAACTCCATAAATAGGTCCGTCATTGGACCAGTGGTGGGAGGATACCAAGAGCTTGCTAACACATGTCACTGTAGAAGGTTTTACCCATATTCGTCATACTGCAAGTGGTGGCTCACCGTATACCGCACTTTGTCTTGCATATAGGGGCTTTTATGTACTGGTTTGAGGAACCTCCTGATTTTATTTCTGATGTACTGTATGAGAATTATAATTTGTGATCAAAGAATTTTCTTTGCCCTTGATACGAGTTCAGACTTCTTGCATTAGTTTTTTCACATCAATAATATTCTATCGCTTATCATAAATAAATAAAAAACAAAATTAGAATACTAAAATTGTCAAAATTGAAATGACAAGTACTAAAGTGGAAAATTAATGAAATCATAGGGATCAAAATGTAATTTGGCGAATTTTTAATTACCAAAATACTTTTTTGTTTCTTGTATACAGACAAAATTACTTTTAAATAAAGGGGTGTCTGAAAACTTTTTCTTATTACCACAAAATGTGGGTGTAATGTTTTGTACTTTGACATTTGTATGTAATCTTAGTTTTGGCTAGACAAAGCTTTTTTACGGTGATGGACATTTTGAAGAATCTCAAAGTTGTTAGCTCTACAAGCCTAGGTTAAATGGTTAACGGTTTTTCATATTATGCATTTATTACTGAGCAGTTGTGGATTGATCAAAAGTAACTCACATTTGTGTTGATGGACCACAAATGGCAAAAATGTCTTTTACTTCTACTCAATGTACTGTAACGTGTTCAATATGCCTCGTGTTCTAAATTGAGCAAGAAAAAAAAAAACCAAATGGTGTACAGTCGTTTAGAGTCGGCTCATTTAATAGCCAGGCTTGTTTTTTTATGAAAATTATTAATTCTGATCCGATATGAGCTAGGACTGTGCTCGTGCTGGTTAACTAAATGGGTTGAAATAGGCCCGCGCCAAATTTGACTTATATATTGCATTTTTTTTTGTAATTTTTTTACAACTTCATTTAAATCTTTTTTTTTATATATAAATAGAAAATGCAATGACATTTTTTAAATCTTTATTTAAAATACATTTAAATAGAAAATGTGATTTTATTTGCACCCAATTATTTGCTCTTTTCACCCATATTAATTTTAAACATGAATAATCTATTTTACCGTTGTACATACTGTTAAGGACAAAAAACATTTAAAATAAAAATTAAATTTGCTCACTACACCCCACATATGTTCTTGCCATCCTAATTAGATTTTTTTTTTCTCAAGCTATCATGTTCCTACAATCCTAACAAGGTTTATACGCTTATATTGGTGAAAACATATATAGTATTTATTCATGAAGAGTGAGACTGAAGTTAGGGAGGCTTTGAATGAGATATTAGTTTATTTTTTTGCTTTTTTCAAATTTAGGATTGCATAGTGGTCGTTGGTTATGTTCAACACACTAGTACCGAACGTGATAGGAAAATTCGGTGGCATGTCATTGAAACATTGAACGTATTTTAGTTGTGTTTGATCGGCCGTTAACTTAAGATGCTGTGGAGATCCACCGTAATGTGGAAAGGACTTCAGTGGCGTATAACCGACTTTTACCTATCACTAAGTGGCAACGAACCGAAATATATTTATTTTTTCAGTAACTTACTGTCGACCACAAATTGAATGCAAGCTATTTTGACCCTACTCTTATTGTATAATAGACTATAGTGATCAATTCACAACTTATTCTGTAATCATTTTGATTTTTTTTTTATTTTTTTTTGTCTGAAATCCTTTTTAGTATCATTAACGTGGCATTAATGTTTCAAATTTTAACTTCAAATAACATGAGTTTAATGTGTAGATATTCAAAGGTAGAGATGCATTAATTAGAGTGGCTCATACACAAAGAAAAATGAATAATATTGTAATTGTAATTACAAGGTCTGATTTTGGAGGTGAGGGCAAGAGAAGACCTCGAGTAATACATACTTGTTAGAGAAGCGGTAAATATAAGTCTTGCAAGTCTAGTGAGACAATTGGTGTAAAGTCGGATGCAAATGGTTATATGAAAAAGTGTTCGAGGGACACTGGTACTAAGAAATGTGGATGCCCATTCTTGTTCAAATGTGTCATTTTTGGTGATGATGATAATTGGAAGTTGGAGGTGGTTTGCAGAGTACATAACCATGTTGTTTTGGAGTATCTTTAAGGTCATTCATTTGTGGGGCGACTTTCTGAAGAGGAGAATGCTTTGTTGGTGGATATATCTAAGAGTTTGGTGAAACCGAGAGATATTTTGGTCACCTTGAATGATAGAAATGCAATGAATGTTTCAACTATGAAGACAATATACAATGCTAGGATCCGAAATATAATCAAGGAATTTGCTAGGAGAACACATATGCAACAATTGTTTACTAAGTTCTCCGAACCCAATAATATTAAGTGGCATAGGACATCTGGTGATACTGTAACTGACTTTTTTTTTTAACACACCTCGTTAATATTGAGATTTTGCGTGCATTTTCACATGTATTTATTATGGATTGCACCTATAAGACTAATAGGCATAGGTTCTCACTATTGCAAATTATGAGGGTGACATCTGATATCCAACGTGTACTTTTCATTGAAGCAAATGGGTTAAATGCGGCTCCGTAATTAGGATTCTGGACAAACGGATATCCCACATTAAGGTACCACTCCAAATACCCAGGTACAATATCTGATGGTCTCCTCATTGGTACACTACAGTTCACCTCTGCCAACGTGTGGTTCTCCCAATTGTCCCACATTCCCCCTAAGTAATAATTATAGGAATTGGCACGACTACCAATTCTGGTATGGACACTTATTCTGGGGGAATCGTCTACACCCGACCAAACTGTCTAAGAACCCATTAAGGATGGTAGGGCTCAACAACATCACAACATCAGAGCATTCCTAAGAAGAATGCAACAACTGGACATGGGTGGTGTTCCCTTTCAAACTTGTAGGGGTCCCATATAACCTGAAATATGATACACAATATAGCATGAACTAATGTAACAAACAAAATACCAAAAATAATATATATAAAATAAAAACCACAACAAAGTTGGATGATCATGTAAGAGAAAGACACTTGATCAGCATTCAAAGCGTCAAGCTGTTGTCTATACTTCTGCACGTCTACTGATGTTGTTCTATTGTCTCGTCGTGGAGTCCAATGAAGAGCACAAGGTTGGACCTCTGAATACTCAAGGTCATGATCAAGAACAACAACACCATGCATGTGCTCATACACCCATACCTCCAGTAAAGTCATGTACCCAGCAATCTGTTTCACCTTGGACCTCGAAACTTAGCCTAATTGTCTATACAACCATGCTAAGCAATCTGTGTCTGAAGCATCTGAGAATCGTGCCAGTAACCATGGAAAATTCACATACTCATCATTGTATTTGTGTAATTATTCAGTAGCCTCTTCATAAGTCACTCTTAAGTAATTAACTAACAATTCGTAATTTGTGTCATTATCATCTTCAAGCGGAGAGATCGTTGCACTAGACACAGGAATGCCTAAAATAGATGACACTCCATCCAATGTGTTGGTCATCTCACCAAAAGGCATGTGAAAGATGTTCGTTTTAAGATGCCACCTCTCAACGAAGGCAGATAAAACAATCTTATCTGCATTCCTATAAGAACACCTAATAAGTTGCTCTAACCCAAACCTCTGAATGTACCCTTTGAATATACCATTATTTGGTTTAACCCACTAATTCCACACATGAAGGGTAGATGTCTTCGACATGGACCTAAGGGACTCACATTCTTGTAGTCAAATACAAAAAAAAATATTTAGGTTAATTACCATGAACCAGACTTATATTGTGCATTCTTATGTTACAGTAAAACGACTTACATGGTTATTCCAAATTGCAGTTGTTATGTGAGTTTTGAAACTCGTAAGTAAAGATGGATAAATGGAACCTACTTGAGATGGCTCAATAGGCTCAACATCTACCTCAACATTAGTATCATGAGTAGCAGCTACATCTTCAACCTCTATAGTATACTCAAAGTGGTATAGGGGATCATGTTGGGGCTAACATCGCCGCTCTATGTCTCCTCGTTGAGGCTATGGGATGCTCTCTATCAAGTCGAGATGATGAAGTCTCAGTAGTACCTCTGTGAGTCCTCTTCATATGTGGAAAACAATATTAAGTACAAACTTTGTAACAAATTCGGTAGATGATCACTAAAAAACTGAAACAAATTTGGTACCCCACTAT